ACGACTCCCGACAACAATCAAACGACCGAACTTTCTCATTAAATTCCCAGAGCCATTCCGGCAAGATATCCTTCCACTCCCTGCACCCGCACACATCACTTTGGACCCCCTCCTTCTCTCTCTCTTTCTCTGTTACATACTGCACTGCATGTGTACAGTATACGCGTTTCCCCGATCAGGTCATAGGTAGGTACATATTTTCCCTTATCCTCGCACAGCTAGGAGTTGTCGGTGCACTTGGCTCCCGACGCGATTGTTGGGGAATTTTCACGGTAATCGTTACCACCGCGATGGTTATCGGGTGACCCACATTTGAGGGCACACGGGGGTGTACAGGAAAGTCGTTAATCGTCCGAGCGCCGATGGATACATTTCGCTGAGCTTGGGATTGATAGTTTGTTTCGCTGAGCTCTTGTTTTTCGAGTGGAGAGAGAGAGAGAGGTGCATCTGTAGATGTACACACGCGCTGGATGTTAACCTTCTACCTGATGGATGGAAGTGCGAGGAGCCGAGGCCGATATCAAGATTAATCCGTTTCACGTGCAGGACATAGGTACAAGCTTCTTCGAGACGTCACGAAACTTTTGTTTCTCGCGCATCGGGTGGCGGTAAACTTGCTTTGAAAAACTAATTTCACGAGGGCGAAACTGATGGATCCGGGTTATCGGTGGGGGGGGGGGGGATCGAGAGCGCGTGTGCTCGCGGATTTGGGGGATAATCAATCACGAGTATACCGCGAGGTATGGGTGTAACTAGGTTGTATATGTATATAGGTAACGCTCGTCCGACGCGAAAAGTTTTGAATAATCGTTCAAAGAGCGCGCGGTGATGGCTCTTAATTGTCTTTCGCTCTGCGTGGAAACGAAGTTTTTTCGAGTGCTAATTGATAAAGTTTTTTTTCTTTTCTTTTTTATTTCTAAAAATCGCTATCACGGAGCTGTAAAGTTTATGTATTCGTAAGAATATTAAAGTTAATTTATTTGTATCTAAAACAAAAAATCAAACAAAGTATGACAGGAAAATAAAAGTAAATCTTAATTTCATGAGATTAAATAATCCAACAAAAGTTTTTGTTGAGCAATTCTGTTGAATTTTTACCGTAAATATGAAATTGCTCTTATCTCGGAAAAATACACGCCTGACACATCGAAAATTAAAGAAAAAAAAACATGTTAAAGTAAAATTGTCATTTATTAGGGTATACATTAGTATTTTTGTGCCAGTCAACTTATTTCGTAAGGAAAGTAAAAAGGACACTTGTCCTTTTTTTCGATACACATCCACAAAATCTTCGATACAACGTACATCTGTGCAAATACCTTTTGAATAAACAATCATACGGTAGAAACTGCTTAAAATAGCTTTTTCGAAATTATTTAAAATACACACGTCTCAAAGGACAAAAAGCAACTGCAAATTGCCGCGGAAGATAGTCCGCGAATCCCATTGTATTGTACCTGTAGTGCGCACACAGACAAGGTCGAGCTCTCAGACCCGATAAGCTATTACCACACGGAGATGAAGGAGAAAGCTCGAGTAAGCATCAGCAGTCGTTCAGACCCATTGCCCGAAGTAGTCCCCGGGAGAGAGATAATACACTTGCTTACTCGCTGCAACTTCATACATCCCAGGACTCCACGAGAGTCTCTGTATAGATTGCCTCTGTCGCAGCGTCTCTTGAACTTTGATAATTTACACCGAAACATACCTTGTACGGCAAGGCATTCTTTTTCTCTCTCTTTTCTTCCCACTGTTGCTTAGTGAAACGCGCTCGTGTGCACGTACCGCATCACTTTCATCTCAAATAATTCTTCTTCTTCTTCTTCTTTGTTTAGGTGTCTAAATTATTCCCAACGACTCGCATCGGTACATAAATATATAGTACTATCGAATCCTCTCGCTCCTCATTGTAATTGTTCTGCTCAAAGCTGCATCTATAGCTTAATTTTCTCTCAGACCTTCCTAATTTTCCTTCGATGCTGCCGATAGTTTTTCTCAGAGTATCGTAGTACTTAGTCCCTCATTTTGTATGCGTCGCCCAAAAAATGTAAATTTAATGTATACCGGACATGTTCAGCTACTGCGCGCTCAAACACGCATTTCTGCACAACTGAATGAAATTATTTTTTTATAGATCGAAGCAGAGATGGTTGGCTTATACTTTAAATATAAAAAGCGATTTTATGACATCTCTTTTCATTCCCCGTCAAATTTTGTCGATCAAAGAACTCCGGTGTACCATCCTTGCGTGAAATACCTCCAACAAACAGTACTATTCAGAAAAATTTTCCACCAGATTTTTACTAGTTTTTACAGGACTCCTTCCCTCATCTGATAACCATAAGTAGTTTTAAAATTTGAGTAAACCAAAAAAATACTCGCCTACTAGCTCCACTCGCCCCTACGTATAATAAAGCACGATCGCTCAACGTAATGTATGATGTAAAATGATAAAAAATATTTAACAAACAATGTATCCTAGTTGTTACTGCAAATACTTTACACAAAAACTATATAACGATCTGACTCGTAGCTGAATTGCATTAAAATTCAATTTAAGCAAATATTTCAATTGCTACAAGCATATAATTACCATCAATAACAATTTAAACTTGCTAAGCATCGAGTTATCACACTTTGCACACGTCAATATTAAAAAAAGTATCCAATTTTACCCAATGACCACTGATATACAGTACCCTCGACAACCCAATACATATCCACCCACCAACATCGAAAGGAAAAAGTCCTCCATCGACCGTCCCGCGATCCCCTTGAAAAAAATAAGCCGCAAGCTCTCCGCAGACGCGCGATATCAGTACAGTGTGTACACCCCCCCCCCTCTCTTCCGCAAGCTCAGCCAGCAGCAATATACAAATCGTTCGACCGTGACGCGAATGCCCCACCGCAGTCTGCAGGCCCACACACTGCACAGCTCACCGCAAAAGAAGGCACACGTATACGTCGCGGTGCTACTCCACGCTTGAATAATTACAGCGTAAACACACGCAACGAGATGTATCTATACGTATACCACCTCGCGTACACCCGCGGGGTAAGGAATAAGAGCCGAGCTTGCAAGTGTGGGAGTCGCGATGGCATAACGACACTGGATATAAATCACCGAAAAGTTATCCGTGTCCTTTCTCGGGATAAACAGTTAACGTTATCTTCAAGATGCCGCTCCCTATGAATCAGCCTTCTCTGCGCGCAATTAACCCACAATGAGGTCCCGGCGCTCAAAATGGGCCAGTCGATCAAACGAGAGAGAAGGGACGCGTGACCAATGCTCCGAGCGATAAATCCAACTTTTCGCGCGGAGCGCCAATTACGCGAGCAAAGGCGAGACAAGTGCAGCGCGCGTGTGTATATGTATAATGTGCGCGAAGCAAAAAGGGGGAGGAGAGGAGTTGGGAGGGTCGGAAGTTACGAGCCCGCAGACGCCACCTGCCCCGTGGTCTATATATATACTACGTGCTCTTTTCCCTCCGCGTTTTCGTGCGTGCGGTGTCCCCTTTTTCCGCGCCAAAGGCCAAGGGGCGATTGTTCGACCGGCCGAGGCTTGCGAATTAATTTAGCGCCGCGTTGTTATTCATTTGTGCCAGAGGGGCTTTTACCGCGGTATCGTGAATTTTCGAGTTTCCCGAGATGCCGTATCGTGTACGAGGGGGGGGGGGGGCTTATGAATTTTCTGTTTATGGTTTGTGCCAACGCAAATGGTTTCGGAAACACTGGCTTCAAATGAGAAACGAACAATGAACTACTGTTTTAGTTTAGCAACGTGATGATAACGCAAAACTCGTCTCTATTGTTATTCGAATTGTCGTTTGGAGGCGAAATTGTTTCTTTTGATTCATTTGCAAGTATCATCTCGTCGTGTTGTTTATCCCCGAAAAGCTTTGTATTAGAAAAAAAAATCAATTTTTTTTTTTGCTTTGTCACGCAAATATTTTATTCTGTGTTTACTATAAACCGGTAGTATAATATCATCATCAATATGGTGTTTGTACTCTCAACGTTTCATCAATTTTTCTCTCAACATTCAAAGTCTGCAATATAGGACGGACTTTATAAAAATTTTTCAAATGAAAGAAAGGACAGAACTGCTCAACAGATATTTATTTTGAAATATCATTTAACTTTCACACCGCTAATCTAAACTAAAACTTCTATAATTATATTCCCTCGAATAATATTTCCAAAAAACTTTCAAAACTTAAGAGATACAGAAATACCATGATTTTTCGAGTATGGTAAAAACTTGATAGACCAGAGGTATCAAACAAATGCACTGATTCTGGGTAATAATAAGATGATTGCGCAATGACAAGTATGGGTAAAGCGTATTCTTTAATTACGTTATGATTTAATGAGATACCGAGAAATCACTGGTGGTAAAACTATTATTATCAACATGATCTACAATATTTAAAATTCCAAGCGATTTCCGATTGAAATTCAATCAGGACCGATTTTTCCCCTCGACTTAAATACCGATTCAGAAATGTAGTGGCACCCCGCGTGGCAATGTACATTTATTCCCTCGCAATGAAAATTCAAACAATCCCCCCACCCGAAGACACGTTCGGCAATAATTAACTTGCTTGTCGCCGACAAAAAATATTCTCCCCTTTTACCCCAACCGGAGGAATTCATTAGCCCTGCATGTGCCAGCCCGCATTTAAAATAATACACCAGTGAGAAGCGCGAATCGGCCAATCTGGCGAGGGCATAATTTTATAATTGCATTTCATCTCTCATCCCCCCACACGGCGTTGTAGCCCATACACAGTTCGTGCGAGTGGCCATTGCGAAATTTCGTCACGTTTCGTGCACTCGTTCGGCAAAATCCATCCCGACAATACCTACCCGTGCGATGATTTAAAATAAAGGCCCGGGCGCGTGCATTACCCGATTTTAAGGCAATACGCCGTCGTGTGTGCATTTCCTTTGTTCACTCGGGCGTGGGTGTTATTAATAAGCGGCTCTTTTTGTTTCAGAAATACGTGAGCGAGGGCTCAACTGTGCGGGACTGCGTGCCCACGTGCGTCGAAAAGGGTGAGTCATTGTATTCGTAATTTTTTTTTAACAATCACACATTTTATCAATCGAAGGTGAGCTATTATTGACTTCTGACTTGAATCGGAGTTCTGATGGCGATGTTTTCGGGATAAATGCTCGAGAGAGCACATTTGCCTGTATCTGATGCAAAAAATGACAATGCTTGCATTGTCGTGCGAAGATGAGCTGAAAAGGCGGACAAAACTTAATTTCCCGTTTTTTCTCGCGCGATCGAGTCAGAGATGAACAGTGCTCCCGTGTTTACAGTAGTGCCATTGAAACACCTTTCCTCCATTTTTCGTTTGTTTGGGTGGAGATGAAAAAAATACTATCTCTCCTTGCCAAGCAAGTAACATATTTTATCAGCCACGGAAGGCCTTGTAAAATGATTTAAATGGTTGCAAAAAAATTCTTGAGAAAAAAATCTGTTTACCTTTAGCCCGCAAAAGCCGTAAAATGGCAAATAAAAAAAACCAAAGGTAAAACTATCAACCGAAACTTTATTGCTCAATAGATAAGAAGCCTTATCAGGTTAATGGCTAAATTGTTTTATGGTACTGAATACTTTTTTAGTGAGTGGACATGACATTGATACGATTTTATGCAAATAGTTTACGTGGAAAAATGATTTTAACGTGGATTAATTTTGTTTGAACGTCCCCCATTTATTGAACTTACAATAAAAAAGAATTCAATTAATTTTAAGAATAACATACACATTAAAAGTGTTGTATCATTTTTCCAAGAAAATAAATCGCTAAATATCGCTTCTTGTTATCTAAATTCAAACAGCTTACTCGAAGTAGGAAAGTCATCTAACGTACGCGCAGTGAACGATTGGCACTGTTGTGCAAAATCTTGTGCCTTTCGAATCTCAAAAGAAAAAGAAAAAACCAAAAGAGTCAGTGTGCATCTCCGAACGATACATCTGCAATACAAACTTGCACGTAACGCATACTTGAATACAAAATTGTATTGCAATCTATATGTTGTCTATTAGCGTGGCTGGGCTTATTCAGCTCAATTCGCAGTTATTATCTTGTCACGCATATATAGGTCCATAAAGTCGAGTCTCAACGCTACTTGCATTGGAATTGGTCATTCGATGTTACGTACGTCGCTTGTGATCGTGACGCGCAAATTTTTTTCTGTCGGTTGGGAAATACTGCTTTAGCCAAATGATTTTCCTCTCAAAGGCTAATAGCGGAAAACGTGGCTTGAACAGTTCACTTCGAGACGTTTGACGTACAAGACAGTGTGCTGCGATTATTTAATTTGTTGACATAGAGACGTATATGTGCGATTTTTCTTGAAATTTTTTTATACTGTGATTTTAGTTATCTACTTCTGGTATCTATATAATGGCACTACAGTTCGATGATTTAACTGTGCGTATAATTGATATTTTGTATAATATATATATATATTTTTTAACGTGTATGTGTGCAAGTGTACAATAATTAATTTTTCAAGACAAACTCAAGCAAGCATTACACGACTTAGTTCAGGTTTTATGGACAACTTAGGGTTATTTCGAATTTCATCTAGATAAATAGGAAACAATTTTTCACCAACTACAGTAATAAATTGACACAATATACAGCAAATTATCGAAACGATTTAAAAAACTAAATTTTTTTTATTTTGATTTTTTTACCAATTCGCTCTGAATGACTATATACAATTGTTTTGTCCAAAATTCTTTGTATGTACAGTATAAAAACATTTTTTTCATCACTTCAGGACAAAACGTCAACTGATCTTTTTTCCCAATGCTCGAAATGAAGAAAATCGTTTTGAAATTTTCAAAAATTCTTTTACGTAGTATAAAAATTTTCCAGAACAGATCTTTGATTGCAACCTTTAAACCCTAAAAATAGACTTTTTTTTTATCTTGTAATTTTGCTTCTAATTTCACTTCAAAAATACTTGAATGTAATTTAAATATATGTCTATTACACATCAGTGCGATTACTATGGACAACCGCACAATGCATTAGTTACCAAAAAAAAGGTATTTGGTATTTTTCATGAGTTCAGCCACTTGCTTTATTAAATAGTGCGTTCAAGGTAGATGAAATGAGGAATCTTGGGTTTATTAATATACTTACCTATTCGAGTGGTGACACAACGAATGCCGAGTTCATATTTCGTGTTGATGTATACATGATATGCGTTTACTTTAGACCTATAACATGGTCTCGGCTCAACGCAATAAAACTATACTTTAAAACATACAGACAAGACGACCATTGTCACTGACAAGTGCAATATCATAAACAAGACAAGGATTGTATTAATGCTTCGTATGAGGATAATTATTATTATTATTATTCACAAATAATCCAAACTCGAGAGCCCAACTGATTTAAAAAAAAAAAATGTCCATTTGTTCTTCAATTTTTTTCGTAATGTCACCCACAGAACACGGATGAGTTTTTCATTGATAACAACGTGCTAAAAGGCATAAGCGAACATTTTTTGGACACGTACCAAGTGGGCCAAGTGATTTTGAAGGCACTGGACAGCAAACCAGATCATGTATCCCAAGTGAGTGTGACCTGCCCCTGTAAAACGCATTAAATTACTATAAAATCACCTGATAAGTATACTGCGGATAAAAATCACACGCAATGTAGATCGACGCGGCGACGGGAGGGCAAACAACGTTCGCCGAAATGCGCGATCTTAGCGTGCGATGCGCTTTGTGGCTGAGAAAACAGGGTATCGGATGCGGCGACGTAGTCACGCTGTGCACGCACAACCACTCGGACGCTTACGCCCCCTGTTTGGCCATCCACTACACCGGCGCCATCTACAACGCCTGGAACCACGAGACCACTTTGCGTAATGAAGACTTTGCACAATTGTGTTTCTCTATTCCAAAATTCGTGGGAACAAACCCCCCCCCCCCCCACCTTGAACGGGCTATTATAAATTACCATTTCAGAGTCAACGAGACACGTGATGAAATTATTCCGACCCAAGATTATATTTGCCTGCGAGAGCGCGGTGGAGGTGATCCTGGAAGCCCAGAGATTGGAGGAGGTGGACGCGAAAGTAATCGTCTTCGGCGAACATCCAGGGCTGCAATCGTTGCGCGACGCGACCCAACGGCAACCCGACACGGAAGTGGCGACTTTCCACCCGACGGAAATCAAAAATCCAAAAGAAATCGGACTGACGGTCTTGTCGTCGGGCAGCAGTGGTCTGCCAAAAGGTGTGGCCCATTCCTACGACAGCATCCTCAAATTGCTCCAATCGTTCATGATAACGCCGATGAAGGACGTGGCGGTGTGGTACTCGACCGGTTACTGGATAACCGGTTACGTCAATGCCCTGCAAAGCATCTTGTCAGCCGGCACCAGGATCATCCACGCGACCACCGGACCCGAGGACACCTGCAGAGTCATCGATAAGTACAAGGTGTGTCTTGATGACGGTTCAGATTTTTTGCGTATTCATATACGCTGATTACTTATTAAGCTTCGATTGCGACTCGTTGCAGGTTCAGCGTGCATTTTTAACGCCTATCATGTTGGCGCACATGTGCAAGTCGAAAGTTTTTGAAACCTACAATCTGAAATCACTGGAGGTGGTCACAACCGCGGGATCTAAAATGAGTCCGCATCTGTTCGAACGAGTGAAAGACAGCTTGCCTCATGCTCTAGTCATCCAGGCTTACGGTCAGTGGGGAGTTTTACATAATGAATTTTTCTCGGCCCTCGTTGCCCAGCAAATCGTTTTTTTTATGTTTAAAATTGATGAGATGGAGACAATTTGTGAATGAATCCGTTGTTGCTGGTATGGTTGATCAATTTTTTTGAAACATAACTATATACGTTGCGTTTTGGGTATTAGGAATGTCAGAAATAGGGCGATACATCGCGTCTCAAAACGGGAAGAGCAAAAATCCCAAATCTGTGGGTTTCGTTGGCTCATGCAATCAGATAAAAATTGTCGATCCCAAAACTGGGGAAGCCCTCGGACCTAATCAGCCCGGCGAACTCTATTTAAAATCAATAACTATGATGATTGGATATTACAAAAACCCAGAAGGTACAAAAGAGGCGTTTGACGAAGAAGGTACGTACAATAAATTATTTTGATAACCACATGAATTTTTTTTTTTTTTTTTTTTAAGGTAAAATGTTAGTGAGCCACTTTTTAAAACAACTTGCCAGCTATTTTTATACTAAATATTAGATTATATCAAAAAAAAATTTCACACGACCCTAACTTGAATCGATAATTCAGTAATCAATAATTATGTGCGAGAAATACATTAAAATAAAAAAATATTGCGATGAGATGCAGTGGTTTTACTTTGGTGATTGACAATAACTTAAAATACATGGTACAGTGGAATAAAGACAAGTTTGTTTTCCAACACAATATATGTATACTCCTTTTTTACGTGACAGATCTTTATGTTATTAAATCTGAACAACCAACCTAATTGATCATCAAAAAATAAGGCTACACTGGTTATGGTCAATCGTATTGACAAACAGGTTGGTTGCGCACTGGAGACAAGGCTTACTACGACGAGAACGGCGAGATCGTCATCATCGACAGATTGAAGGAAGTGATGAAGTACCAAAATCACCAAGTGTCCCCGGCTGAAGTCGAAGAAGTCCTACTCGCCCATCCCGACGTCGTCGAAGTCTCGGTGGTGCCCATTCCTCACGACATCGACGGGGAGCATCCTATGGCTTTCGTTAAAAAAGTTGCCAACTCCAAGGTAAACTGGAAACTCGAATGAACCGTAGGACTTTTCCGATTTTTTATTCACTCAACTGTTGAACAACAGGTCACAGAGGACGATCTTGTGCGTTTATCATCGGCGAGCCTCGGGGAGATTAAAAAATTGCGCGGAGGAGTGAAGTTTATGGAAGACTTACCCAAGACTGCCACTGGAAAAATTTCTAGGCCACATTTAAAGGAAATGGCCAAGGCGCTAGCAAAAAATACGTAAAAAAATCTAATTGAGTCTTTGTTCATTAAAAATTACATCATTTGTTCTGTATTTCATTGTTTTACAAGCTTTGATGTATTTGGAGTCTGTGTACGACGTAAAACAAATAAACGAATAATCGTAAAATTTGTTTTGTTATTTTTTGAATTTTGAACTGTTTCGTGCTGCCATTGTTATTATAAAACAGTAGAATTTTCGTATTTAATTTTTCACCATGGTAATTCATGCCCATGATAATTTTTCCCGCTCCCCTGATGAAAATAACATTGGGGCAAGAGCGAAATCCAGCGTTTTACGCAAGTAAATCCGTTCTCCTCTTCTTTTTTCTGCGATAAAACGTAATTCCTTCCCTTCCTCAAGTACGTATCGACAGATAAAATTGCGGCTTAGGGTCTTACAGCCCTTAATCTCAAACGACGAGGAGAAGAAATCGGAGGAAGAGGGCGTATCTTTGTGACATTCAATTTTTGTACGTACGTGTAAGGTAATTATTCGGTTTTTGTTTGTTATTTCCTCAACTATTTCATTTTTTTATTCAATTTTATCCCTCCGAACAGAAGAAATCGGAGTAACTGGGAAAATGATACAAACGATGTATTTTGGATGGAATATTGTAAACGCGGTCGAGTTTAATAGATGAGTCTACATCGCGGAATTCGATATCCGTTATTTGTGTAGTTTAATTAAAACAGGGGAAAAATGAGTCACGAGCGCGCGTCGTATACGAAGAAATATGGGGAACATTAAGCTAACGGGAGCAGTAAATAAAAAAAATGCCGATCCGATACAGGATCGAAGAAGCGACTTTGAAAATAGAGAGGAACTATACCCGTGAGTGAATAATGAAATATTTTTTTTTTTGTTTTTTTTGTAAAAATCGTATTATTGAACTTTTGACATGTATATACCGGTACGCCGCAATGCGCGTATGCTTTTTCATACGTCGAGTGTTACGTAAGATAATCTTCCCGAAAAATTGCCAAGTTTGAGCAAAAATGTAAAAAAGTAAAGCTGACCAGACGGGCGGAAATTTGTCAAGGATAAAGACACGCGATAAGGAAATCGGGGTCTCATACGGTGCTAAAACGACTCGTTGCTCCGTGGAGTGTAAAGTTAGACCAGTCAGTTAGCCGGTTTTTTTTCGGCTTCTTTCAATCCACGTTTTTACTTTCGCGTCATCGCTGAAAATCAGGATAATAAGTATACTTCACTCGTTTGTTTCATAAACTACAGTAATGCAAGTTTTTTTTGTATTCGTTACAATACGTTCCTCATTTAAGGATTTATTTAGTAATCAACTTTCAATGAAAATAATTTTATAAATTAAAATGCTGTTTTATTTTTCGCTTACAATAAAATAAAAACGTCAAACGCGCCTATAAATATTGGGAATACTCATGGTTACTTGTTGAAGATACCATTGGATCAAAATTAATGAAGACGTTCATTTTCCAATATTTTAATACTTTTAACCAAACAATTTAATCCATTGGAAAATGTATCTATTTCATTTCTATATGTACAAAACCCATTGTTTAAAGAATCGCAATGACAATTAAAAGGCTGTGTTATAAAATATCACTGCAATACGTTTATTAAAAACATGTGATGAACTTGACAATGTTACTTTGAGACAAAAATGTTCCCTTTTCCACTAGACTCCGCGGAAAAAAAGACATTTGTAGTGTACACACAATCACACGCGAATCTTGTCCAGGCACTTGTTAAAGTACTTGAACTTGACGATCATGTCGTTCCAGAGATGTTGCACGTAGGTAAAGTAAAATCAGTGCTGGGCGTTCGTCTCCACGTGGTTCACGCTTAACCCCTGATCCTTCGGGCTGGCATGATTCAACTTGAACCCGACCAACGTAAAAAAATTTTTTAATCAATTTACGTTAAGAATAAACATTGGGTTGATTAAATATAAATCTTGGTTTCAAACTACTTGGAAAGTGGAAATTGAAAAAAATAATGAAAACCGTTATTTATAGACTACTTTATTTATGTTAGTAAAATTTAAATATATTAATAAAGAGCTGTTTGTCGATGTACCGTAATAAATGCTGCAAAAAAATCGTTCTTTTTTGAATAAAACATGTATACTTACACTGCACCTGGCGTTTAAAAATTTACGAGTTTCTTCATAACAACTGTCTCTTTTACATTATTCAGCATCAGTTGCGATAAGATATCGCAATATCACGGACCTGTAAAGTATTTTCAAACTCGTGTACTCCAAGACCTGTCTGTCATGTGTACATAAATTCATAAATTGTTATTACATTTATTATTAACCTATACATCACTAGTTAACTAATCGATTTTAAAATAATAATTTAGAGATTCATAATCAAGCATATAGTCCAGTACAAACACGCTAGATTTTGGTAATTTTTTGGCATCTCTTATTCGTATTATCATTTCTAACCAATTTATTGAAACAAGAGGTCTTTTTTGATGCAAATGACTGACGGGTCTTGAAATCGAATGTATGTTAATTTTGATGTGGGATGTTAACAAAAAAAAAAAAAAGAAAAAATATAGTCATCATGAAAACAGTCGTTTATTGCCAAGTGTCAGGTGCAGGGTAGGTTCGTGTATTAAAGAAAAAAAATTTTTTTTTCAGCATTAATTACATGGCTGTACGCAAGTGTACGTACCTACGTCCTATCCCTTTCATGTTACTGTCACACTTACCAAGAAGAATAATTTTGTTGGTAAATTCTATCACAGCTAACCACATATACAATTATAAAAACATTTCGTGTATATATGTTGTTCATGTATTTTTTTTATCAACTAAGATTTCACACGTTAAAAATTCAACTTGCATTTTGTTACTTTGTAACTCTGTACCAACTTCTCTGCTGGTGTCGTCGCGTGCTCACCTCTTATGTTCTGTAAGAGATACACATGTGGTGCTTCTCACTCGCTTTTGCTTGCAACAATTCCACCTCACTCTACCGCTGATCAGATGAATTTTTCAGGAGTTATCCAGTGATCGATCGTATTCAATGCAAATGTAAAATTATTTTTAAACGGTACTTTTGAATTTCCGCTGTACAACTCAATTGACTGCTCACCGAATGACACAATTTGAGATAACGTCTTTGTCAACCGAACGCAATCTCTTGTTCAATTGATTGGAATATCGGCAAAACCAAATAAAACACACACACACACACACACGTACAATCGTAAAAAATACATAATCGTAACGTATTTTTATTGAAAAAGACGTACACTATTATCCCTTTTCCACAAAACCTTGGGGAAAAAGGTCCAACCTTTGGGGACTAAATAAAGCGCACTCAATTCACAGAGTGTCAAACAAAAAACAATCGGTGTATCGTTTGAAAAAAAAAAAAAAAAAAAAGAAAAAAAACGAGCGCAAATTGTATAGGCTACTCGTCCTTGCCGATGCACCTGTTGAAGTACTTGAGACTGGTCTTCATCTTCTGGTAGAGCGGCTCCTTGTACGCAAAGTAGAAGCAATGCTCCGTCTTCATCTCGAAGTAGCTGAGCTTGTAGCCCTGCTTGGCCAAGGCGTACGGCAACCTCACCCCGGTCAGATCGGCATCCTGCACCACGCGTCCGTTCCTACCCACCACCTTGACCCTGACTTGCAGGTCGGTGCAGTAGTACAACTGCTTCGCGCAGTCGTAGTACACCAGGAGCACGCCACCCTCGATCTGATTGGATATACCGATCAAGTGGCCCTTCTCCAGTGCCACCGTGGTGTTAACCATTTGTTGTCCACTAGCGCTGTACTGAACACAACGGACCGAAGGTACGCCCCAGTCGTCCTTTACCGGGTGGCAGAACGAAAAGTGCCCGTAATCGTTGGAACGGAAGGCGCCTTTGATGGTCGACTTGTCCTCTATGAAGTGGTTCTTCAGAATGACGGTCTCGGTGCCGTCGTCGCTCACGTGGCTGACGTTCATCAGTAGGCTGTACTTGACGCCGCGCTCGAAGCTGGTGAAAAACCCACCGCTGCTCGGCCGAAGCCAGTACGCGGTCATCCCCTCGTCGTAATACTCGGAGGGAAAGTCTATGGGCCCACCAACTCTCTGACCTGCGAACAATCCAAAGACTCACGTGTAAAATCAAACGCTAAGCTGTTGGAGATCATTTATTGTTACCTTCTTGGTCGTATCGGAGGATGCAGGGGCTGTGGCGCTCCCCGCACTTGGCTTTGCTGTCCACGATGACGTCGAAGCTGTCCAGGTAGACGAGGACGTGGTCGTTGGGTTTTCTGGGGTTTCCTTGTTGGTCGAGCGGCTCGGCGTCGATGGGGAAGTCCAGATGGACCGGGACGCAGTCATTCATGTCGACGTAGCTGACGCGCCTGTGGGTCTCGTTCCGGTCGCCCAACCCCCACGAGTGCCACGCGAGCACGGCCTTGCGCCCGAAGAACATGCTCTTGACGAAAGTGGTGTCGGTGTAAGACATGCCAAAGTAGTTGGTCTCGGGCACCGTGAGCTTCACGTGGCAGTGCTTCTCCTCGCCCTTGGCCATTTTTAGCTCGAAGCGACAGTCGGCCTCGTGAGTGACGTTCTGCGTGCAGGTCACGTAGAGGAGGTCCGTGTTTTGGGACGCTTCGTAGAGCGTCGGTGAGAAATCCTCGATGTACTCGTGAGAGACGGCTGGCAAGGTGGACGCGTGCGCGGCGACGCTCAGTAGGCCCAGAGCCACGAGGACTTTGCAGAGAGGGGACATTTTGCCTTGGGGATGGCTCGGGTATACCTGTGTTGGGCTGGATAAGAGTAGGTTGGTTGTACGAGAGGAATGGAGTTGGGCGAGCTTGCGACTGTGTTAAATGGACCAACAGTAGCTGAAAAATTTTTTGAAAATTAATTCGTTGCCAGTGCTAAAATCGATATACTCGTGGGATACTCTTCATCAGTAAGTTCGTTTGGATTTAACATTGAAATACTCTGTTGCCCCATCCAATGGTATTCAACTCAGCGTAATGCAATACAAAAAAGTATATTTCTTAATATGCCAGTTTGTATTAATATTTTGAAATATTTGTCAGTTTTTAAGCGATTACTTCAAGTAAGCTATTTTCAGCGAAGATTTTAAGTTTTTATTGTGTACTTTTGTAAGGTAAAACTAATCGCACGTTGCTTTTGACACGGTTATATAGATTTTTATAATTTTTATAAAAATTTATGTGCAATTTCAAAACGTTAGTGTTTTATCTTGTAAAGTTGGCTTGAACATGAGAGATCGAGAAAATTACTGTTGCTACTTAAACATATGTTGAAAATTTGTGTGCGTTTTTTAAAAAATTTTTCTCATTTTTACCATTTTTAAATGTTCTTTCAAATTTTAAAACCATTGATAACTACTTTTGTCTACTTGGTGAAACAGTGTAAATAAAAATAAAGTATTAAAAAATTTTTTTACTAGGTTTCGCTCGGTTTCTTTGGCATTAGAATTTATTGAGAAAGGAAACCAGCTATCATATTTATGTACTTTTGCAAAAAAAAAAAAAAAAAAATTGCTTTTTATTATTTAAACATTGAATCAACGTGAACTGAAAAAAATACCATTATGGTATTGAAGATAAAATCAATTCTTAAAAAACGACACAGGAAGTTGTAACACGTGAAGTACTTACCCAGCACTGGATGCGGGCCAATTAACTATTGTACAAACAAAAGCTGTTTCTTTTATATTATTCAACATCAGTGCGATAAGGTTTTGCGAGGCCATTCCGACTTTTGGCGGAAACAATATCGAAGTTACATACTTCCCAACTGTCAGACACTTACATAATGAAAGGACACTTGAGTAAATAAAAAATATGCAATGATAATAATTATGTTTAAAAAATCTTAAAAATTGTTAAAACTAAACGCGCTTGTACAGGTATTGCATCGCGATTACGTGGGGAATTTCTTCAAGCAGACATAAAATTAAATAAACAAATGCTTTAACTCCTTAAAACTAATTTGTTGGCAATTTATGTAATTCATTACCCACAGGCGCATCGGTAAACCTTTTTTTCAGAAATATTTGATTTTACAGTCTGATACAATTTATAAGCACATATCTCCTATGCATTGTATGGAACACAAAATGTATTCTCATTAATAATAAAATTTCAATAGACTAAAGTGTATAATTATTATCTATAAATAAAAAAAAATCACTTGTACGAGTAGTGTCAATAAAATAAGGATATATATGTAATTGGTTGAGAGAAAAGGTTGTAGCTCGGCCAAGTCTTAGAAAAACAACCATTAACACTACATTTAGACACTTTTCGACTCTAAAATATAATTACAAACACATGTGTGTCTGTAATTCATATCTCCCGATACGTTTTTTTATCTTTTGGTAAAGTTATGAAATTCGAAATCAATTTGAATCAAAATGGACAGGGCAGCTGTTCAAATATGATCCAAAAACATTATCCAATATGGTAGATTGAGTTTTCATTCACGGCCTCCGTATTTACATTAAAAAAAAAAAAAAAAATTTATTTGTATTTATACACATTCAATGAAAGCACTTTCCCGAACAACGAGGGCCAGGCTGCAGTTTTGAATTCCCGAGATTTCCGGACTTTTTCAAATTTCATTTGCTCTCTAACTTTTATCGCGTCATCAGGCAGTTTCATGGTAAAACGATTTCTCTTTCCCTGGAGCTCCGATTCACTCGGCGAGTCCCAAAAATCAATCAACCCGATACACCTACACGGTACACCCAAAACAGGCGTGACAAATAAGACAGAAGAAAAAACACCCGCGGCCCAAATGCACTTCGAGGCATCGGCATTAGTCGAGGCAGCGATGGATGGGCGCCCGGCATCAGCACAGCTTTACACGTATGCACGCGACGCCACTCGTCGTCGGGACCTCGTAAATGGCACGACGTTCGTTTCTTGTCACTGCGACTCGACACTCGCCCCAAGTGCGAAACGATGTCTGGATTTTACCCTTTTTTTCACTCCCCACCACTCTCAACCTCCCATTCGCGAGGGTATACTATTTTTCCGGCGAATTTCGTTCTTCCGTACCGCGTCTTGGATTTATCTCTTTGACGGATGTGTATAAAAACTTGCGCAACGCAAATGTCGGAGAAAATGACGAACGCGTTTGACGAGGGATACATATAGTCGTCCCCACTGCGGACTCTGGGCGCAAAGTTAGATTTGAGCGCGTAATCCGCGATTAAAGCTGAACGGGATTATCGGAAACGGAGGGACGTTTCGATGCTTCGAGGGAGGAGTAATCAATTTTTTCCCATTGACAAATCGCCGTCGGTTCTTTAGAAGCGGATGAATTAATTTTTTTTTCATCTCGACCCACCTTATCTTTTTAATATCAACTCTATCATTGGAAGCGTAAAATGTGTAAGTTAAACGTTATTTTCTCTTCATCAGAAAATACCCAACGAAACGTAATTTTTGTATTTCATCCGGAGCATAGCTTGTTTTTACCCTCTCGTAGAATTTTGTTTTTTTCCCTTCCAGTGTTTGCACCCAACAATAATGTGCATTTCAGACCAGCAGCAGTAGAGTCGAAACAATTTCTGCGCCGACGAAAAGTTACACTGTATACTTACGCAAGTTAAAAGAATTTCCCCTCTTCACTGCCCCGGAGTCGAGCGGCCTTTGAATTCATCCTAGTTTTTAAAAAGTTCTCGGTTTGTTATTTTATTTTTTTTTTTAGCTCGTTTACAGAGTCTTTTGCTCATGTTTGGAAAGTCGAAATGTAACCAAAGCCCAACTTGAAGGATAACGAGCGTAGGACGTGGAAAACATTTGCGCGCTTTCGAGGAATTTCGCATCTTCTTCCTACAGCCAACCAAAGTCATGCAGCTTGACGGTCGAGCGAAAAAAAACTACATGCAAAAATATTTACAGCCCCGCGCGTCCACGACTTTTGCGAAGAGCCAAAGAAAAATTCACAAAGCAAAAGAGCGCACCCTTGAACCGAGAGAAAAAGGAAAATCCTTGGACGAGGCGAACAATCGAACTTCTCCTCTCCATCCCCGTTCCGTCGGGCACAAAACGCTTGGCCCTGTCTTCAAAGGAACCCGTCAGTCCTGCGTTTGCGTGTGTATACGTACACCTAAAAAAAAAAAAAAAAAACCACTCTCCTAGAGGCGACGGAAACAAAAGACCGGCCGCTCGAACGCTGACCATACGCGGAGGCCTCGAACGTTCAAGGACCCCTTTGATCCAAAGTGCGCATCGATTGAGCGGCGCCAAAAACGCAAATTCCTCCACCAACGCGGAGAAAAAGGTTGCAGAGGGTTGGAGAGACATTGAATCGATGCATATGGGACAGCATCTGGCGAAAAGCACGATGAGTACACGGGTTCAGCTAAGGGGTGGGTGGGGGTTGAAAAGAGCCGACCCGCACACACAGCTTCCTCCAGAGTAGTTCTCTAGATTCGCCCATACGCGCGACTGCCAACTCGGCTATTCCGCGCCGCTACACACATTACCCCTGATGGCTGCCACGCTCTTTCCTCTCCAGTCAGCCTTCTTTCCGGAGTTTTTTTTTTTTTTTTGTTCCCTCCCTATTCTGGATGTCGCGCGCCGTTGTTTCATTTTTCCTCGCTCGGCTATGATCTCGTGCGCGGGCATCGGGGCAGCGACCGGTTGGTGTTTCAAGCCAAGTGGCTGATTGACAGGAATTTTCGATCCAATAGATACGCGAGGAGATCTAGTCAGAAGTCAAGAATAACCTTTGTTTCGATATATACAAGAATAACCTTATATATATATATATATATAAATCTAGACATACACACAAACTTAGTTCTGACGAATTAANTATATATGTATAAATAAAAATAATGGTCCATTCTTGCGTGTTGCAGAGGCCTGGAGCACGAGGACGTACTGTTGCAAGGAGAACGGCTGCAACAGCGCGCCCACCGTAACGTCGAGCAACAGTTTTTGGCTACTGTCGAGCTTGGCGCTCGCATTGCTGCTGCAACAGCTTCCGCAACGTCGTGGCTAATGCGTATACGTATGATGCGCCGAAAATAAAATAATAAAAAAAAAAAATAATAAAAAAACGCGCCCTCAAAACTCCCAACGGCATCACTACACGCTATACATCTCTGAACTTGTTAGCCATCGCCCGAAGATCATGGCATACACAACACGCACCGAGGAGAGAAAGAGAGATATGGGCAGCGCCCGATATAAATACATTATAATATAATAACACGCATACACATAGTAATATAAAAATAATGATAATTGTCACAACTACCGAGCAGTCCTCGCCTTAACGGACGACACTACCATCATTTTCCGCTTTACGCATACATACACTTGTACCTATTGTCGTACAAAAGTACACCCATAATATGCGATCAATTACATTTTGACACACGCCTAATATGCATACCCACCGAAGCACCGCTACTCTATGACTATACTATTGTAATACTTGTATATGCCTATATATACCATTATACTTCTGTGCCCAGATTCTCTTTCCGATTTTAATACGTACCCACGCGCATATGATACGTACATATGCTGTACGGACGGCTTTCGATGAAATACAATTATACGCATACCTATCCACACACGAGTACATGACCGATCGATCGGCTTCTCCTCCTTTGGACACGCGAGGGGTGATTTCGAGGTACCGCCGACACAAGCAATGCGTTTTTCTATTTCCATCAGCTTGAAATAATTGTAGAGCCCGCGGATCGCTTATTGTTGGTATTCAATGATTAATCGCATCTCTTAACTATATATAATCGAGCATACATACGGTGACGCCGGTACACCCCCGCGAATCGATCGGAGGTAAGTAGATGCGGTCGGCCGGTCTTCCCCCCCTCCCCCGCCACATCGAGATTGGGCCGCGGTACTCCCTTCGTTTGCTCACCAGGTTCCCGCAGGGAGAGCAGCTGCCACTCGCTTCGGCAATTTCCATTTTTCGCTCCGCTTTCTTTTCCCTCTCTTATTTTCATTGCGAGTAGAGTCGCCGCGCGTGTGAGCACCCCCGGGGCTGAATTTAATTTCGAAAAAGTTTCGAGCGTATACGTGTGAGCCTGTTTTTTCTTTCTTTTTGTCCGACGGAGATAATCGCTGAGGGGAAAAACACACCGGGTGGAAAAATCAACGAGAACGTGTATTCAAGGGATCGGGGATGTATTTCAATTAGACATTTTTGGGTCCGGGCGGGAAAAACTGGGTCTCTGGAATACAAAAAAGAAATCACACGAAAGAGAGGAATTGCAGCTAGAGATGGAGTAATTTATCGCTTTTGTTGTTTACGGTGCATTATTTTCCAGGCGTCAGGGTAAAACTTTTGGGTAAGTACGAATGTAACCACGGCAAATTTTCATCACCCGAGGCAGGGAGCGAGAAAACAACATCCCCCCCCCCTCGAATTGCACCCTTTCGTTTAACGAGTCGATTCGCTGCTCGCCCACCGTTTTTCTTTTCCTTTTGTTTAGCTCCGTATTCGAGAAAGCGTCTAATTAACGCGCGGCGACGGTGTAGCGAAGGGGAAAAAATAAAATTGTGCCGGCAACAATGGGGTCGAAGAAGAGAAAAAGGGTGGCGGATGAAAATATTTTCCTTTGATTAGCGCTAGTCGAAGGAGGAGAAGAAGATAACCGGTGACACAACGAATCCTCCCCCCACCCCCACCCCGTGTCCTGGAATATACGTGCACGTACTATATTCCTGGCGTTTGCAAATGGACCACAGACCCTATCGACGCCTTGACCTCGTGCAAACTGGTGACGCGTTGTCCTTTCGCTCGAAATAAAACTTGCACGACGTGAATATCTACATAATACTGTTGTTGTTATTATTGTCGTCATTATCAATGTTATTATTAAAACAAGGATAACACTCAATATATAACGCTCCAGTAAGCTCGAAAGTTTTTTTTTTTTTCTTTTCTCTGCGTCATCATTAATTGACCACTTACTGGCCACAATTATTTTAATTACGGCAGCTTACTTAACACAATTTTTTTTTTGACGCTCGAAGAACGTACGAGAGAAGGGCGACGCCAACAATCAGCTAGCGCGAGGGGGAGGTACTCGACAACACCGATAAAGGTTTTATAACGATGCCGGATGATAGAAATATATATGTATAAAAAAATAACTACGAGGAAGTAGAAAAAAAAAAGTTAAATAATAGAACGGAATGATTGATTAATCTGATTAATTAATTATCAACTATTGCTACTCCTACACTGAGCTATGTAGAAACTAATAAGTAACATTGAATCATTGCTATACAATTATTATGAAATTATTATTACGAGTTGACGTCGTCTATGAAAAAGTTTATATAAGAAAGAACAAAAAAAAATAAAAGATAAAAAAAAAAAAAAAAAGGATGAAGAGCCGAACTAAATATAGAGTCTCGTTGAAGGCAAATGCCCCAGATTTTCGGTACCCGTACGCCTGTATCTTCTCATCATTCCAAGGATCTCTCGCTCTCTGTCATATTATATGCGACATCTTCATGTAAAATTTATTTTCGTATAAGCGCCACGTATACACATGTATACTTGAATAAATATTATATACTTCACGTTCGCAAATGCAAATTGAGTTGTTAGTTATGTCGCAACTTTATTAATTCAATGTTATATCGTTGTACACATACAAAAAAAAAAAAAAAAAAAAAAAAAAAAAAAAAAAAAAAAAAAAAAAAAAAAAAATCAATGTTGGAAATTAAAAGGATTTTATGGTAATAATAAGGGATTGTATACATTTTGAAAATAATTTTTTATAAGATACGCTTGTGTAAATTTTATAGAGAATATAAAATAATGCTCTAAGGAAACAATATAACTTTTGTGTGCATCAATGGACGTTACTTTCCAAAGCATCGATTTAATCAAGACATGACACATGACTAATACATTTTTACAGCAAGTCAAATCTTTTACGAAGTTATTAAAGCGCATAAAATAATAAATTGTTGCACAAAGCCGTACAAGCAAATACCTTACAATTTCATCTTATGATCAACACTGTTACATATATGAGAATATATATATTTGTATTGAGTTGTAGACAACCTATATTCACAAATGCTTTGTTTAATAATCAAAATAATAAAAAAAAATATTTCTATCGAATTAAATAATCAATGTTCGTGTTTGTCAAATAAAAAGTAATCTATAAGTGCTTGTAGATTGATAAAACAAATTTTTTATCGCAAGTTCACTGTTGTTAACCAAAGTACTTAAGCAATTTTCGATTGCGGATGATCAAAATGTTTCATTAGTATAAATAACAATAATTTCGAAAAAAAAATCATCGTGATCTCATTAAAGAAAAAAAAAAAAAAAAAAAA